TGGACGATGAATTACATCATCATCCTACATATAAACTGTAATTTCTAGCAATTTTGAACCTACAGGAGACAACACTGAAGGTCCCAGCATTCTATGAATCGCTCCAAGAAAAATCATTTTAATCTTAAGCCAGGCTTGAAATTACAATGTACCCTCAGCAGCCACGTTCTGCAGCGGCCTCTGACTTGTCTGGAAGTGAGCCACTGTAAGGCCTCTCCACTCCTGAGTTTAGGACACAGCTGGGATTCCTGGAAGGGTCCTAAGCTTGGGCATCACACCAACCTGAGTTTGAAATCTGGCTCTGCCAGTTGTTTCCTTGACAATGACTTCACCTTCTCTGAGCCAATTTCCTCATCAGTTGGTTTAAACTGTGAGAATTGAGTAAGACTTGGTGCCTATCACAATGTCTAATGTATAGGAAGTGCTACTTCTAACCACAGTGGTTGATGATGAAGAGAGATTAGTACAGAGGAAAGGCAGAGATGAGGAAGAGTTCAGACCAAGGGGTCCAGAGGCCACTCTGGGAACTTGGGCCCCAGGGTTCCCTGAGGTAGCTCAAGTTTATTTCCTGGAGGGCGAGGCTGGGTGTTGGGATACACTGTGGCTGTTTCACCAGGACCTGAGCGAGGCCATGAGCATGGTGGAGCTGCAGCAGGAGCTGGGTCTGCAGGTTGTCGACAGCCAGCGGGAGGTCTTCTTCTTGGGGGCCAGCATTGCCCCTGTGGGACCCGGATCTGAAGACCCTGGCACCGTGCACATCTGGAAACTACTCTTGCAGCTTCTCTCCTAGGCTGGCACCACCTGCTCACCCACCAGCCCTGGGAGCCCAGTTCTGCTGCTCCTGCTCTTCATCACTGGCCTGGGCCTGGGCCTGGGGCAGGAGCTGCACGGCAGCACGTCCCTTCTCTCCTTGCCCTCATCAGAGCCAAGAACCACGCAGAATCCTTCCTGGTGAGGTGGCCGTGGGGCCGAAGTGGGGTGGGGCAGAGGGTGGGCTCAGTGCTCCCCTCCCTGCAGGTCCTGGTGGTTGAGGAAAGTACTCAGTCAGCTGTTCCCTCCTGGCAATTTCATGCCCCTCCTCACAGACAGGTTCTAGGCAGGACGCAGTGAACCCTGGCTCTCCGTTCCACATGGTCCTCCAGCCCCAGCTCTGCCCATCTGGCTTGTGGCTTTGACCAGTCTCTTCCCCTCTGGCCCCAGGGCCATCATTTTAATAGGAAGGTGATTTCTGTGTTTTGTGTGGGGTTTTTTTTTTCAAACTGAGAGATGCATTTCCCAGCATCGGAGATAAGTGTGAGGACAAACCTGGAGATCCTAGCAAGGGTCTGCAACCTCCCCGCTTCCCCAGGCTGAGGCCCGGCCCCAGCCTCTCATGACTGCAGAGTAAGTGGTGTTCACCCCCAATCAGAAACACTGAATTTCCCCACATCTGGAGACAGAAGCTGCTGCTCTTGTGTGAACTATGCCGGCACCAGGTTTCCGTAAGTGGGGGAGACCAGAGTTCCATTCCTGAGAAGACTGAAGATTGTCCACCAGAGCTGGGCCTTGATCTAGAACTGCATTGTGATTATTTATTTATAAAAGGAACAGGCCAAAGATTTAGCCTCTGTTTCTAGGTGCTGCTATCAAAACCCCAGATGACTGTCATGGAAAATCTGGAACTTTGAGGAAAATGGCTGGAATCATTAATGACAGTGATAAGTTACGCAGGTCAAGGAGCCAAGCTGTAGCTCCCCCGCCCTTTGATATAATGATATCAGGAGAGTTCACACTGATCCACATGAACTGTACCTCCATCGGTATGTCAGATCCCTTCTGTGTAGATAGCAGAGGACTCTGGGAAAGGAAATTTCAATCGTGTAAATCCAGGTAAAGAAATGGGATGGAGCGACCAGCCAGTGGGGTAGCCTGGGGCACGTCGCTCAGCCTCCCAGACCCGTGGGTGCCCAGCCACAGCAGAGTTGGACGGAATTTCTGGTGTTCTCGCCCGTGCACATTCCATGATTCTCTTTCCAGTGACCAGCCAGTTAGGACCATTTTGTCTCTGCATCGACACTTCTCTTTCATGCAGGCAAGAGGAGGAGCCTTTTGTCTGTCAGGGTCACTGAATAACCAGTGGCCACAAATGGACTATTTTTTTTATCAATTCTGTTTGCTTTTTCATTGAGAACAGAGGTTCTGTGCCTTCCTTTCATTTGTTTACTTTGTGCTCAATTCTTCAGCTGGTGTGAGAAGAGGGGAAGGAGGGAGGCAGAACTGAAGAGTAGCTCGCTCTGCTCTAGGGCTTCGGATTAACTTTCTGCATTAAGGGACTTGTTTGCTTTTATTTTAAACAATTAAGGAGCGGCTTGGATTGTAGAGTAGCCTTTGAAACTTTTCTGACAACTTTTCACTTCTGTGTTCTATGAACCCCACCTGGATCCCAGTGCTTGAAAGTTACCTTTGGAACCAGTGCTGGTGAGGGACCCTTTCTCCTCACTGAGATCTGCCTTTGGTCTATTGAGTATCAGTCCCTATGTAGTAAGATTTTTAAAGGCCCTAGTAGGGAGAGGTGAACTTGAATAGAGTTCAACTACATGTAGTTGAGGTACTTTTAAAGACCACTCGGAACCGATGGGTCCCAGTGGCATCGGAAGACACTGCAGAGGGGCGCTGAAGGGCCAGCCTGCCACCACTCTGATGCTTGCATGGAACACAGACGTTCTGTTGGCCTATGGGTGAGCCTCAGCACGCCTGTGGCTGACAGCTGTGCTCCTGTTGGGGCTGCTGGGCCATACTCGAGGCAGAGTGCCACCGGGCCCATGTGCTCTGATTTCCAGGACCTGATTGGGCAAAGCAGAACAATAGCCTTTCTTAAGGACAGCTAGCTGCCCGGCCTTGTGACTGATTCAGGAGCCAAGTAAGTGCTTTTGGAAACCAGGCATTACTCGGAGCTATTCATCTCAGTGAGGTTCCTGAGCTAGTCTGGGTGACACTGCTCCCACCACTGCCCTGGCTCTACAGCTCCTGACCTGTCTACACATGGGAAAGGGTAGGAGGTGTCCGGGCCAACCTGGCCCCGAGCTGGCCCATGTGGATGGTCTGGGCAAGAGGGCTCTTGAGGCTGCCGGGACCACCACCTTGGACGGACTGCCCATCCCAAGAAGCCTCTAGCACCTCTTGGTGCCCACAACTGCCGTTGTAAGCTTGCGCTGATGCAGTGGAGCCAGCGTAAGACGGGAGGGGACGGAGTCAGTCCTCACTGCTCCCCCACCCCAACCCTCCGCGGAAGTGCTGATGAAAACCTGAAGGAAGCGTCAGGTTCTCCATGAAACCTTTCCATTTGCCTTTGAAAAAACTTTGTTCTTATGTAGTTTAGTAGCAACTGCCAACATCTCGCACCAGCTGCTGAAGCTCGCCTGTGGTGTGGTCCTCGCACAGCTGCCCGACCTCGGAGCAGGGGCACTGAGCGGTGGGCCTCGTGCTTGCTCTCTGCTCACACGTCCTCAGAGTCCTTTCTAGTAGCTCTGAAAAGGGACCCTCCAACTTCTCATCTGCTGCCTCCAGGAGACGGGGCACTAAGGGACAAGGGGAGGTTTGCCCTCAAAGATCTGGAAGTAAAGGGCCTTGCTGTCCTGTGCCTTGCGCCCAGGCCCACAGGCCACCAAGGGCAGACAGCAGAAGAGCTAGTGCTGGCGGTGTCTGAGGTACTACACAATAAATGCCAAAAACGGTGTGGTTTCATTCGAATTCTGGTTTTGAGGACTGTTGGGTGCTTACAGTCTCAGGGAGGGACAGCTGTAGAGGGTGGTTCCAGAACACTTGCTGTGATAGTTTGTCAACAAGTCCCAGTCCCTGGGCTCGACAGCCCACATCGGTGGGTGGTAAGGAGCATCAGCGTTGGTCTCAGTACCTTCTGGGGAGTATCCAAACCTTTCCCCCACTCCTGGCTCTGGGATGTCAGCCAGGCATGGAAATGGGAGCAAGGATACCTGACAGCCTCTGTGCCTAAGGTCAGAATGGAGGCCACTCCCCCAGCATTTACAGACAAGGTCCCTGTACTCTAGTAGGGGACTGGGGGACGTCAGGCAGATTAAAAGGCAGCTATGCCAGGATGATTGCTAACAGGAAGTCTGGGCATGGGGACTATAGGACACTTACCCAGCTCGGGGGCAGGGGATAATAGGGAAGGCCTCCTAAAATTGGCACCTGAACTGTAAAGAAACAAGGTCAGGGGCAGGCTAGTCTAAGGCCTGAACTTGGGATGCTGTGAAGGACTAAAGTTATGAGGTCAAATAATGAAGGCCCTCGAGCTCAACTTTTCAATATGAGGAAGAGGGCCTCATATTGAGGCTGTGCAGTCCACCTCCATGGCCACAGACTAGATCAGCGGTTCTCAACCTGTGGGTCGCGACCCCTTTGGCGGTCAAACGACCCTTTCACAGGGGTCGCCTAAGACCAGCCAGCATATCGGATATTTACATTACGATTCATAACAGTAGCAACATTACAGTTATGAAGTGGCAATGAAAATAATTTTCTGGTTGGGTCACAACATGAGGAACTGTAAAGGGCCAGAAGGTTGAGAACCGCTGGACTAGATCCTAAAGGCCGCACCTGCCGTGCCTCGTGGCCAGTCACTGCTGGAGTCTATGTGGCCTGAAGGTGGGTCGGGGCTGCCTTCAGAGGCCAAGGGGGAGAAGCAAGCGAAAGCCGAGGCTCAGCAGTTGGAAAGACTTCGGCCCCCCCACCCCTAATGCCCATCAAGCCCCAGTTTCCTTACATGTAAGATGAAGATAAAACCACACATCTCACAGTTTCATGTGAAATGATGTAAAAACCTTCTTTCCCAGAGCAGCAAGAAGAGACATTTTACGGGCTTGTAGGAGAAACAGGAGAATTTTTCTATGGTTCATAGCTGAAGACAGACAAGAAAATGCCCAGTGCCCAACCACACCCTGCCTGTGGTCCTGCTATGGGGGGGGACACTCCTCATGCCGCCCAAACCAGGCAGGCCTGGTCCCGAGAATGGGGTTTGGCCAGCCTCTGTAGCCACACCCCCCTCCTTGCCTTAAACCCTGGCTCCAGCTTCTCGGGTCCAGGAGGAGGCTTCAGCCTGGGGCAGGCGTAAACCAGTCACGCAACCTCCATCGCATTCTTCTGCAAAGAATGAGCGAAGGCTTCCCACTCCGCTGGGTAAAAGCGCTTATAGACGTTAATCTTATTCCGAATCTGTTTCGGGGTATCTTGATAATAATTCTTCTCATCCCGGGCCATAGCCTAAGAAGGGAGAAAGGCTACTTGAGGGATGGATAGGCAAAGGTTCAAATCCTAGCTCTGCTGGAGGTGGGCCACCACTTCCTGTCCCGGAGGTTCAGCTTCCTCACCTCAAAAGCCATGGTGCATGTGGGGAAATGGAGGCAGATGCCGCAGGGGCCAGCTGAGCAGCTCATGCTCCATCCACAGCCAACTAATCTCACTGGCATGGGGGGTGGGGGGGAGGCCAGTGTAGCCCGATCTTTCCATGTTTAACAGAAGCTAAAAATATGGACTTATTTTTAAAACCTCCCATAACTAAAACAGCAAGTAGTTCAAGTTCTTTGTAAGTCCCATGCAAACAAACCAACATATCTGGGACAGCCACTCAGTCTGTCTCAGCTATTAGCACTGTCAGTAGGATCCACTGCCAGAGTCTGTCTTCCCTATTTCCACGCAGGAAAAGGCCCTAAGCAAGCAGATCAGACCACAAATGGTCTGCGGTATCTTCCCAATGGGCCCAAGTGGTGCTCTCCGCCGGGCCTGAGCCACTCACCTTGTAGTCCTCCCCATGGTTCTCCACCATGTAGCGGACGTAGTCTATGAGGTCCCGAGACAGCGTATTTCCTTTCTTTTCCGGGAGGCTGGCTTCTGCCTCGAGGTCTGGGGTGAGAAGCCGAGAGACAGGGAATGAGGTGTTGCTCCCTGCACTATTTGAGCTGTCCAGTCACCCCTTTGCCCAATCCCAAGCTACAAGCGTTGCTACGCCAGCCATCTGATGGACTTGGCCTCCATCTCCACATTTGGTGCTAGAACCTTCCTCTTCAGCCCCTTGGATCCCAGGCTCTGCCTATGACACAATCATTTATCAGTGGCAACTACCTGAAAGGCAAGTCATCTCTTTGGGCCTCAGATGGGTAAAAAAAGGCAGCAAACTTACAATCTTTACTGAGTGCCAGGTCCTGGGACAGAGATGAAGATACACTGCCAGGAGACAGGGAATGAGGTGTTGCTCCCTGCACAGGACAGGGCTCCCTGCCGGCTCTAAACAGACCCTCTTTCCTTGAAGTGTTACAATAACATGAAATGGAAAGGTCCGAACAAATGAGAACTAGGGTCTAAGGCTGGGCCCAGGCACCTCTGTTCCACCGGAGAGAAAAAAGCCAAGCTGTGGAGCCAATAATGGCTTTGCTTTTAAACTAGCTAGGCAAATGCTCCCTATTTCTCATCTACGAAGGAAGGAAAATACTGAAACCAGGTGGTCAAATCTTATCCAGAGTTAAGTGCTAAAACTGCTTATAGTAAAAAATTTTACTGTAATAAGTAAACGATTTTATATATGCAATCCAATGCAGTACTTAATGAGAATCACTGAGAAAAACTAAAGATAGGACCTCAAGGAATTTTATATCAAATGTCTGGCCATTCAAATCCTACAGTCACAACTATTAAAAGCCTCAGACAAGTAAGCCCTGGCCAGTGTGGCTCAGTGGTTGAAGGTTCGATTCCTGGTCAAGAGCACGTCCCAGGGTTGCGGGGTTCACTCCTGGCCCCAGTCGGTGTGTGTGCAGGAGGCAACCAGTCAATATGTCTCCCTCACATTGATGTTTCCCTCTCTCTTCTTCTCCCTCGCCCTCCCACTCTCAATGGAAAAAATATCGAGTGAGGATTAACAAAAAAAACAAAAAATCTCAGACAAGTAATAGGAAGGGTGGGTAGACTCACTCGCCCTCCCACTCTCAATGGAAAAAAATATCGAGTGAGGATTAACAAAAAAAACCAAAAAATCTCAGACAAGTAATAGGAAGGGTGGGTAGAGAATTCCAGAGTATTCTGTCTTCCCTGCAGAATTTATTTTCTATTTTAATATTCAGTTTCTGTGGCCTTTATGAACATGAAATTGATTGGTCATTGGGAAGATTAAATAAGAGGGTGAAATCTCTAAAAATCTGTTCATCCTTAAATTCAGGAGAAGCTGAAATACAAGCCTGAGACTTAATGGGTTTCTTTTCTAACCTCTCGGGCACCTGGCTCATCCCCCCTGAACAGCTCTGACCTCACTTCACACACCTGAGTTTAGCCAGTAGACTGCATGTCCCAGCCGGAGACACAGCCCTAATGGTGTGAGCCCTGGACCAGCTTTTCTTGCCTTTGGTCCTGGCTTCTCTACCTGCCCTTCCAGCCCTGACTATGCTGGATGGTGACCCGAGGAATGTGGCCAGCACCCACCATTCAGCACATAGGGCTTCCGTACGAGCTGCCGTCTCTCGTCTACGTCCACCTCCATGGCCTGGACCTGCAGAGAACAGAGCCAGTGAGACCAGCAGATGAAGGAAGGATCCTGGGTGAGAGAAACTTCTAGAGGCGCTTGCCCATCCCAGCGCCACTGCATGACCCCCTAAGAATCCCTGCACAAGGTCAGGCAGGAACAGATGACAAGGAGAACCAATACCCTGGAGGTTTCATGATTCTCAGAGACTCGAGCAAGCAATTCATCTTTCTGCGCCCGTGAAATGGGCATAGTAAGCCTTGTCTGCCCACTTTGTTGGATGACAATCCAATGAACCACCACAATGAGGGGAGCCACCTGACAGTGCTGGGCTGCAGCCTCATGTCTGATCAAGAAACAGCAGCGCCAGTTCCCTCGCAGGAAGGGATACAAAGAAACTTACCTAAAGGCAACCGGGCCAAGTCAATCAGTAAATCCTTTTATTAGGTTAACTACTTATTGGATTTTGTTGGGGGAAGGAGATAAATATACAATACACCAAGTGCTATGAATTAAAATAACGCGGGACAAAGTCAAAAATAAATAAGTAAATAAATAAAATAACGCGGGACAGAAGTTCCTGAGTGGGAAAGTTGCTGTTTTTTAAAGGGGTGGCCCAGGAAACCCTTCCTCGGGAGAACTTGGTCCTAGGAGACGCCTCAGACCAAGGATAATTGGAGGACTTGGGGGAAGAAGATGTAAGGGAAATAAGGGGCAGGAAAAGATAAATTCGGGAAAATACCATTGAGATGCCAAGGGACACAAGTTAATTTCAGAGGAAAAAAAAATAAGTGGAGAAGCTCCAACCCGGGCCCAGTGTGTGCTGGGGGGAGGGAGAGGGAGGGAGGAAAGGGACCCGCAGCCGGCGACGGGCGGGCGTTCGGAACCGGCTAGTTACGGCCGGGCGGGGCGGGGGCCAAGCCAGTACCTTTCTCTTACGGAGGGGCACCGCCTTGTTGGGGTCCATAGCCAAGCCCATCTCGGCCAGGTTCTGCCGCACGGACTTGGTGTGGTCCCAGGCATGTCGGATGTGGGAGCTGCGGGAAAAGAGGGAGAGCGCGGAACTGTCAGCTCGCCGGCCGTGCCCGCCAGGCCCGCGGCCTCCTGAACCCGGGCCCCTCACCACTCGATCCGCGGGGCTGCCTTCCGTCGAGCACTCCGGTTCAGACGCTTCCGGTTAACACTGTAACCGAACTTCTGCCGCCGGGTCTTCCCCTTGGCCTTGGGCATCACGCCGACCACCGCTCAGGCAATTCAGACTCGGCGCCTCTCACTTCCAGAACCTCGTGTCGTGTAGAGGACGCCTTCCGGAAGCTGCGCGCACGGCGTGGCAGGCTTTTTGGGAAATGTAGTCCTCCCCGGAGCGACACAGTGCTCTTACTACAACTCCCAGAATGCAATGAGAAGTTGCGCATGCGTACACTATTCAACAAATCCCCCCGCCCCTTTCATGACCAGGAGGCGGGGCTTAACGTCCAGTTTTCTCTTCCCGCTGTTGCCTGGGACACCGCGTCTCCTGGCCACGTGACTCCCGAGGCATCCTTGGAACCATCGCAGCGCCCCACCTAGCACCTTAGCCTCTAATTCTCCAGTCTGCAGTGTTCTTTCCTCCGTGTCCCGAAGCTGGCTCCTCCCGCCTGGCAGGCCGTGCTTGACCTCAATTGTATGACCCCCTCCCTCTGGGCCCCATCCCTTGCCCAGGTCCAGAGTAAAGTCGAGCTGGACCCACGACCCAGCTGGTGTCCAGTCTTTAAGGCCAGCCAGGCCTGGCCACCCTCTAGGAGGAAAGACACGCTCTGCTTGGTTATGGCAGATGGGAGCGCCTGCTTAGGCCAAGGAATGTCCAGGGAGCAGTCTGGTCACTCCTCATCACCGTTGTCTGATCCATGCACGACCCTCCGTGACAGCGACGTCACCGGGGGCCAGGTTTGAGCACAAGCACCATTTTAAGCAGGCACAGAGAGGGCAAACTGAGGAATAACGTCATTCCCTGAGCAGGGACCCTGTGCTCAAGCCCCTCTCTCTGGAGGGGGTGTTCAAGGCCCGTTGCCCAGAGCCTGGCATACGGTAGGCTCTCAACGTTTCTCGAATGAAGAACCGCATCTCTAAGTCGTGTGCGTCACAAGCGGAGCAGGCACCCGGAGAAGAACCCAAAGGGGCCTGCTCCGGGCTCTGCAGCGGTGCGTGCGTCCCCGGGGACGCTGAGTCAGAGCGGGCACGCGCAG